TGGATTCCATGTAGACATACCCTGACCAGCCAGACTAAACTCCCAGTCTCCAGCCTCTGTTCTCCATAAGCAGATGCAGACTGGCCAGATCTTCTCTCAAGTTCTTGCTGGAGAAAGCAGATGGAGTTCTCTCAGCACCACATGGCAGCTTTTTTCACCTTTATTCCCACCTCATACATGTCCAAACTCTGCCCAGCTTTGCACCAGCTTTGAATCACACACAAACACCACACGCGGGCACAGCAGCTTTTGCACCAGTGTGGGAGCTGAGTTAACACTCCCTCTCGTCCTCCTCAGTGAGGTACCAAAGACCACCTCCAGCCTACCTCCCTGTGTTCAATACATTCATGAACCCAGGCAAAAACTCCTGCTTCCCAGGACAGATCCCATTTCTCCCTCCCTTGTTCCTCTGTTCCCATTTCAGACTCCCCCTGAAGTTTGCTTTCTCTGGTAAAACATATGTGGTCTCCAGTGCCAAACTGACCAGGCCACAGTGTCGGATTCTAATCTCCCATTTTTTACTCAGCACTCTGAGTCACTCATGCAGTTCCTCAGCTTTTACCTGTCAGCTTCCTTCAAGTCATTGCCAAAATCACAGTCAGGATCCTTATGAGACAGTTAACATAACATGCCCAATAACGTTCTAGGAACCCCATTTTACCACGGATTATTTTGAGTTCATTTCACTTCAGTTAATTCAGCAGGAAACCCCAAAGGCATCACATCAGCTGCTTTAGGGAAGCCAATGTTTACAACACAGTTAGCTGAGGGGTTTCTGAATAAATGTCAAACCTGCATCACCACCTCCACACCAAACTTCAGCCAGCCACAGTTCCAAACCAGCACAGAACCAGCTCCCACCCAACACGGAGGGGAGGCACCTGCTCCAAACGCAGCCGTGTGTGGCCTCCAGCAGGGCACCGAGCAACCCCACCGCATGCAAGACAGAACCGGCTCCGTGCCGCCACTCCAGATCTCTGTGGCACGAGAATCTCCCACCCGCCAGGCACTGCCAGGCGGGATCTGCACGGGCCCGGCGCGGCTGGGCAGCAGAGGCAGGCGAGCCGCGCCGCAGCCTCGGCCCGGCAAGGGCTCAGGCCCCGCCGCAGGGCCGCCCCAGCGGCGGCTCCGCGCCCGGCTCCGGCCGCGCCGCTCCCGCCTCTGCCGCGTGCAACTCCCGCCCGGCCCCCCCCGCCGGCCCGCGCGCCCCGGCCAATCAGCGCTCGCCTCCGCCGGCGCCGCCGACCAATCAGAGGAGAGAACGCGTCCCCGCCCAGCGCCACCGGCCGCCGGGCCACGCCCATCCACCCTCCCGCCAGGCCTATCCCGTGACACGAGAGGGGGCGGTGCCCGCCGCCAGAGGGCCAATGAGAAATCACAGCGCGTCCCGCCGCAGCCAATCGGCGGCCGCACAGCGCCGCTCCTCAGAAAGGGCGGGCGGGCGGCGGGACGCGGGGTGGCCGGGCCGTCCCGTCACGTGACCGCGGGGGCAGGGACTCCCTCAGCGCGCGGCGCGCGGGCACCGGAGCTGGCGGAGCCCGGGCCCGGGCAGCGCCCGGGGCAAACCCCGGGCATGGGTGGGACTGGCCGCCTCCCGTGCCTCGGCCGGGGCAGGATCCCGGGGTCGCTGCCTCTGGGCCTGGCCTCGCGTTCTGCGGAAGCCCCGCTGAGCGGTCAGGAGATCGTGAGGCCGCCCCGCTCTGCCGCCCCGCTCGGCCTCGGGCGGCTGCTGCTTGTCTCTCCCGAGGTGCGTCCCGGGGGCTGGATGGCCTCTGCCCCTCGCCCTCCCTGCGTTTCCCAGTCCGTGGCATCACTTCTGCCGTTCACGCGCTCACCCTGCGCGCCGGCCCCGCCGATGTAGGCAGGGGGTGACCTCAGGCTTTCGCACAGCCTGGGCGTTACATTCCAGGATCCTGCGGGCTGCAATCACAGAGCAGTTGAAACTGGAAGGGTCCTGTGGAGACCACCCAGCCCCACCCCCCGCCAAGGCAGGGTCACCCAGAGCAGGTGACAGGAACGCGTTTGGAATGTCTCCAGAGAGGGAGACTCCACGGCCCCTCTGGGCAGCTGTGCCAGTGCTCCCAGCTGCCAGCACCAAGTGGTGCTGCCCGAGGTGGTGTCTCTGCAGCCTCCGGAAAGGATGAGCTGAGCCCAGCCCCAGACAGGTCTGGAGGGTTTGGGGGGGTGGACAGAGGGATGTTGGTCCTCGACAGAGAACAACCATCCCTGCCTCGTGCCAGCTGAGGGTGGAGCTGTCCGGGCCTTCCTCTGAGAGGTGCAGAGGCACCTCTTCCTCCTTGTCCCGCAGATGCTGATCTTTGCAAATGCATTGCTTTGAGTGATTTCCCTGGGAAAAATGTGTGGGAAAAGGGGGAGGTGAGTGATGGCAGGAAAAGCCTCTGGGCTGGAAAATGAAGGAGGAAGCAGCACTCTGGGTTGGCAATAGGGCAGGGGGAGCAGGTAGAGAGGTGATAGGCAGGAGGCAGCACCTGGAGGGAACTGGGTGGTGGGGCAGCTGGAGCTGTGGTATGGGGCACATGGTGCCATCCTGAGGAGGAGCTGCTCCAGAATGTGCAGAAAGAGTTTGTGGAGTATGTGAGCAACCCAGTGGTCTCTGGGATGCTGGACACCTGCTGACCCAAGGGGTTCTGAGCCTCGGTCAGGTGGAAGAGCAGCCCTGGGGAGTGTCTAAGACTCAAAGGCAAGGGGCAGTTGGGTATCACTGCCCTGAGACCCCCTTGCCATCCTGTGATGACGGAGCTCTTGGGAGTGGCTGTCCCCCACCATGGGCCTGAACAGGGGCCCCCAAGGGGACCTGCCCTGCAATAGCTCCTCTTGCTGCAGGCACTTCCCAGTGTAACTGAGGGGCTTTCTGCTAGCAGGGCCCTCTGCTGTGCCCCTGGCCTTTCCTGACCCTGAGGTGCCCCCTTAGCCCCCGCTGGCATCCAGGACCAGCACTGGATCCATCAATGCTCCCTGAGTGAACACATCGGGGACAGAAGGAGCTGTGGGCAGAGCAGGTGAGAGGAGGGCTGGAGCATAGCCCTGCCACCCTGATGGGGCAGGCAGGGGCTGAGCGGAGCCAGGGGCCTGCCGACCAAGGAGCAGGGCAGATCGCAGAGTAAGTTAAATTGGAAAAGATCTTGAGCCGTTGAGTCCAGCCTTTAGGGCAGGGAACCCCACTGCCAGGGTACGCGGCTGCCCAGGACACGCTCACATCCCGCGGGCAGCGCCAGAGCTCTGTGACCGCCTTCCCTGGCGCCTCCCTGGAGGCGAGGCTCCCACCCCCACCTGCCCCAGCTCTGCCTGCACTCCTTCTCCTGCTGATTTTATCTCCCCTGCCAACCCCTGCGGTGGAAACTGGCTTCTCCTGCTGGGTCTCAGATGGCTCCAGGCCATGCTAGCGTGGCTGCTTGGAGAACAGGAGAGCAGAGGCTTGAAGAAAATATTCACATTGCTTGTGTCTTCCCGAGGATGCCATGTCCTTTTTCCATGCTGTTGGTCAGATGGGCCATTTGGTCAGATGGGCCAAATGATCTTGGAGAAGGCCAAATGATCTTGGAGAAGATGGCCCAGTCTCCCGGTCTGGCACCCACCATTAACCACTGTTGCAGTGAGGGCCACCAGTGAAGTCACACTTGACATCTTCTGTCACCCCAGATCCCATGTCCTGCGGGTCATCAACAGGCTCTGTTTCTACCCAATGCCCGACTGAGCAGTTTTGAAGTCATGCCTGCAACAGCCACATAGAGGTCTTCCTAAAGGTGGGGTTTGTGGTTAACTGCAGCTGCGTCAAGGATCAGACGTCCTGCTTGGAGCAGAGCTCAGGCCAGGACAGGTCTTTTCTTGGCAGGCTCCTTGGGAGCAGGCTGTCAGAAAGAGGCCTGGTTTTGCCTGGGGACTCAGCTGGATCTCTGGAGGCATCAGCACCCTGACACTTGACAGGCATAGAGCCCAGTGAGTCAGTGCAGCCCATGGCATCCCTCCTGCCATCAGACATATGCCTGGACGTGCCCTTGGGATGTCTCTTGAATTCCCTGAACCCTTCCCATGCAGGAACAGAGCTGCTCTCATTTCTCCCTGCTGTCTCTCTCACCCCAGGTCAACAGGTCTTTTCTTGGCAGGCTCCTCGGGAGCAGGCTGTCAGAAAGGGGCCTGGGGACTCAGCTGGATCTCTGGAGGCATCAGCACCCTGACACTTGACAGGCATAGAGCCCAGTGAGTCAGTGCAGCCCATGGCATCCCTCCTGCCATCGGACATATGCCTGGACGTGCCCTTGGGATGTCTCTTGAATTCCCTGAACCCTTCCCATGCAGGAACAGAGCTGCTCTCATTTCTCCCTGCTGTCTCTCTCACCCCAGGTCCAGCAATGCTTCCCTATGCTCTCTCAGCAGATGCCATCACAAGAATGGACTACAAATGTTGCTCTACCTCTAGAAAGCTCTACCTCTCCTCAGGCCACTGATCTCCTGCCATGGTGAGACTCTTCACCTTGCACCTTGTAGCTTCCTTTTGTCTGTGCCCCAAACCTGGTACCTGGCCAGCAGGAAGGAGTGGGGAGAAATCCCCCACCGATCCTGGGCTCCAGAGCTTATGGCTTAGTCCAAAGGTCTTGTGTGCTGATAGCTGGGGCCAGACCCCACCCCCAGCTGGCTGGTGGCACCCAAGGAACTACTTTCAGTAGTTGTGACTCTGGAGCTTATTGGTCTGACATTCTTCACAGGAAAAAAGTAATACACAGAGAGCAAAAGTGTTTGAATTTGAGGGTGATATAGCAGAAAACTCAAGGCCAATGTAGCCCAGCTGGAGAGGAGAGGAGAGGAGAGGAGAGGACAAGAACAGCTCTGCAGAAACAAAGCAAATCTCCAAAGCAGTCCCTGGTGCCTGCTCTGCTAGGCAACTACAGCCAGACCTGGAATAAAACATCCTCAGTCTTCTGCCCTCCCTCCCTTTTGGGGCCACCCCAAATTAAGCAGATTCATCCCAGGGAGCAGCAGACACCTGGCTCTGGAGCAACAAAAGCAGAGATAATTAATGTCTCTCTCTACTGTCTGCACACGCAGTGTGTCCCCAGTTGTGACAGAGATGATTTGTCACCCCCATAGTCACTTCTACCCTGTCCCCAGCTTTACCAGTTGTCCAATAAAGGGATTTTTGCAGCAGACACCCTGCTCCTCTGCCTCCAGCCCATGGTGGGTGGGTGTTATACTGCAGGAGGATGCAGAGTAGGTAGGAGGGAAGAAATTGTCAGGAGCTCAGGGATGAAGTGACACCTGCCTTTGGGACAGCCTGGGCAAACATGCTCCTTGCTCGGGAGGCAGATTCCAAGAGCAATGATGCAATTTCCCCTGGAAGCCAAGAAAGATCCTCAAAGCTGTGTCTCATGTGCACTGCTCCCACAGCATGTCACATCAGGGCCCAGTCCAGCTGTCACCTCCCACCAGCATCCCTGCTTCCAACTGAGAACCCCCTCCTATGCCCCCCACACATGCCCTGCCCACCATGGCCACATCCAACCCCTGTTCTGCCTTGGCATGGATTCAGCTTTATTGCACATTCTGCAAAGTCACAGCCAGATCCATGGAAGAGTCTGGCAGCAGGAAAAGAAGAGGGCTCTCCTGTCCCCTCCATATGCCTGACACCCCTGTGCAAGCAGGACAGTGTCCTGAGCCAATGGCACCCCATGTCCCTGAGAGGTGCCAGGAGATCTCAGCAGGATGCAGGTACCTCTCTGCTCTGGCTGCAGAAGAATCAGGATGGGAGAAGGTCGTGCAGGCAGGATCAGACTGCAGTGAGGGCAGCCAGTCCCAGCTGAGCCCATCCTCAGCCCAAGCCCTGCATCACTGTCCAGAGCTCCTCAGGACCCACATGGTCCCTGCAGAAACCCTGGTCCCCAGTGCTACAGCTGTGGCAGGAAATTGAGGACAGCAGTGATGAATTCTTCAAATTTATCCTGATGGACTATGTGGCCTGCTCCTTTAATGTACTGGATCTCTGCCTTGGGGAAGAGACGTTGGATCTCTGGGTAGTCTCTGGAGCTGCAGGACAAGGGAACATACTATGATCAGAGGTCCCTCCTGGTGTCTTCCCTCACCCTTCCCAAGCAGAGGATGATCCCAGATATGACTCCTTTCCTGCTGGGAAAGCCCAGAGGGCTCCCAGGTTCCCCCTCGCTCCAGTGTGTCGGTGTCACTGGCTGCTGGAGGAACTGCCCTTGCTCAGGACCTTCCCCATGCTGGGAGCTCCTCCCACTCTTGGCAGCTGCAAAGAGCACAAAAGGTCAAACCACAGACCTGGAACCGCTTCTCTCCAGTCTCACCTGATATAGGGCGAGTCGGACCCTCCCAAGAAGAGTGCAGGACCAGGATATGGCTTTTGGAAGGCGGGGAAGTTCATGATATCTGCCAGGTGCCGGGAAATAGCCTCCAGGTTCACCCGCCACACGTAGCAGCCCTCCACCTCCACCAGGTTGGTGAGGAGGAACTGTCTCAGCTGTGGGAGCTGCCATGGAAGGGGATCGTGTGCTCTTCAGTAAGAGCAACAAAACAGGATGTCCTGGCACCCTCCCTCCTCCCCATCTCCCACGGGATTTCCTACCTTGACCACGGGCTGCAGCTGGTCATCTGCCAGCTGGCGTGCTGCCGAGCGGGACAGCCCCGCTGGGACCTTCACCTCCTTCATGGCCGAGATGTAGGCAGAGAATTCGGACACAGGGGCGGTTGAGCCAGGACTAATGTCTACAGAGATGAGGCGTTCCACCAGGTCTGGCTGGAGAAACAAGCAGAGTGGATCAGATGCCAGGATCTCCCGAGATCTCTCCAATGGGAGTAGGCACAGGGCTCCACTCCCAGTCAGATTCCCTGGAGGCTCTTTGCTCCCTCCTGTCTCAGTAGAGACGTCCATGTGCGCTTCCCAGAGTCGCTGTCCTCGGCACAGATCTCCAAGCTCCCTCACAATCAGTGCTGGAAGGACAGGGCAGAGCATGGGCTGGTGGACATAGATTTGATCCTGCTCCCATAGCCTGGCTTACACCCCCACCCTGATACAGACAAGTCCCTGTGGAGCTGGGGGCAAAGCTGGCCCCGATGAACAGTCTCAGAAGGTGCTATCCTCTTCCTACAGTCCCCCCAGAACTTCCTGAGCCTGTGACCCCACTCCCACCCCCATGCTGCTGACCCGCTGCAAGGCCAGTGTCATGGCTGTCTTGCCCCCCATGCTGTGTCCTATGAGGATGCATTTGGTGATGCCCAGGCGGCTCAGGAGGTGCTGCACGTCCAGGCTCATCGCTTCATACGTCATCACGGGGCTGTGGGGGCTGCTGCCATGGTTCCGGGCGTCCACTGTCAGCACCTGCCTGGGCAGAAGCAGTGTGTCACCCCAGGCACTGCCCCACACGACCCTGGACCCCTCCCTGTGTGCTGTGCCTCCCCCACGCCCTGGGTCTCACCTTGCCACTGCCGCGGCGCACCAGTGCCTTGGCCACTGTCTGAAAGTTGCTGTGGCTGCCAAAGAGCCCGTGGAGCAGGACGAGGGGTGGCTGATCCCTGCGACCCTCCACCTCCACATGGGTCAGGGGCACTGCACTGCAGGGAGACAGGAATGGGGTATGGCCCAGAGGTGCAGGGGGGAAGTGAGCCTTGCCCCTCTGCCCAGCCCTGGTGAGGCACATTTGGAGGATTGTGTCCAGTCCTGGGCTCCTCAGGAAAAGGAAGACACAGAGCTCCTGGAGCGGGGCCAGCTCAGGCTGGGAGGATGAGGAGGGCCTGGAGCATCTCGGTGCCCAGGAAAGGCTGAGGGAGCTGGGGCTGCTCAGCCTGGAAGGAGTCCCAGCTGAGAGGGGCCCTCAGCCCTGGCTGTCCCTGTGTGCAGGGAGGGCAGAGCAGGGCCCAGGCTCTGCTCCAGGCCCAGCAGTGGCACCAGAGCCACGGGCAGGGCCGGAGCCCAGGAGCTGCCCCTGCCCAGGAGGCAGAACTTCTGCCCTGGGCACTGCCCAGCCCTGAACAGGCTGCCCAGGGAGGGGCTGGAGTCTCCTCAGCGGGGATCCTGCAGAGCCCTCTGGGCACAATGCTGTGCCCTGTGCTCTGGGATGGCCCTGCCTGAGCTGGGAGCTGGCACCAGGGACCCCCCGCGGTCCCTTCCAGCCCAGCCCAGCCCAGCCCGGCCCGGCCCGGCCCGGCCCGGCCCAGCCCAGCCTGGCATTCCGTGAGAGCGCGGCCCGGGCTGGGCCAAGGGCAGGCGGGGAGGGGGCGTGGCAAGGGGGCGTGGCCAGCAGGTCACCACCCGTGTGTGGAACATCGGTGCAAGGGGCGTGGCTTGAGGGAGGCGTGGCCAGCTCCCTCGTGGCGGCCACGCCCCCGCTCGCGGGTTACCCCCCGGGACCCTTCCCGGGACCGCTCCCGCCGCCCCCGCCCAGCCCCGCGCGCGGCCGGGCCCTTACGTGGCCACGGAGCGGGCGGCGGCGGCGGCGGGCTGCGGGACCGCAGGGCCCCTTCGCCCGCTGCCGCCCGCAGGCACAGCGGGACCCGCCGGCTCAGCTCCGCACTCGCCGCCCCCGGCCTCGCTTTCCCCAGGACCGGCCCCGCGCACCTGCGGCGGCTCTTGCCCCTTTGTCCCTGGCCGCTGGAGCGTGGCGGCGGGCGGGAGGGAGCGGCCGAGCAGGGCGGCCTCGCCCCAGCGCGGCTCCCGGCGAGGGAAGCGCCTGGCGGCCCCCCCGGCGGCCCCAGACTTTGGACTGCGGTAGGGAGTGTCCCTGCGGCATCCAGCGGCTCCTCCGCTGCCTCCCGCCCCGACCGCTCCCGGAGAGCTGCCCCTGCAACGCAGGGGGACAACGGGCTCCCCCCGAGCAGGGACGCCTGCGGCTGAGCCCTCTGTCCCAGCCCGGTGCCGCACGGGTGCCCGCGTAGCAGGGCGTGCAGGGTGCCTTGGGGGGCTGGACCGCCGTGTTCTCCCTCCCGGTGCCCACCTCGATCGTGCAGCACATCGCAGGGACACTCGGGTACCAAAACAGGACACGTTTATTGACAAATGTAACCGGTACAGACCACGCGTAACAGGGACAGACGTGCCGGGCCAGCAGCGATGGGGCACACAGCGGGGGCCCCCTCCCCATCCCGTCCTCATCCTGCCCCATGGGCACGGCAGGACCTCGCCGCGTGCCGCTTCTCCCGCCGACCCGAAACTGCCTCGTGTTTAACCGAAACTGTCTCTATTTACACAGCCTGGCCCTGACCCCGCGGCCGTCCCCGTCCCCTCCTTCGCGCCCCCCCGCCCCGCCCCGGCGCTGCCACCCACGGAGGGCAATGAGGGTCCCAGGGTGGGTGGGTGGGGTGGGGGATATCGAGGGGTGCCGGGGGACCCTGGGGGGGCTCAGACATAGTTCCTCTTGTCGTAGCTGGTGACGGCGGAGCGTGGGGCGGAGTAGGCCACCTTGCCCGTGGGGTACCTGTCGTCTTTGGGGGGGCAGGAGCAGCAGAGCAGGCCCCCCCCCAGCAGCAGGAGTGCGGAGGCTGCCCAGCCCACGTAGAGCGAGGTGCCCAGCTCCCGCTTCTGCGCTTCGATCACCAGCGGGTTGTAGAAATCCCGGATGATGGTGTTGGCCGACCAGCAGACAGGGATGAGGGTCATGACACCAGAGAGGAGGAAGATGACGCCGGAGACGATGGTGATCTTGGCTTTGGTGCTCTCATCCTCCACGCAGCGGGTGCACTGGGCGCCCACGATGGCCACCATTAAGCCCAGGACGGCCAAGATAATGGCCACCACCAGCAGGGCACGGGCGGCTTGCAGGTCCTGAGGGAGCGCCAGCATGGAGTCATAGACCTTGCACTGCATCTGCCCCGTGCTCTGCACCACGCAGTTCATCCACAGCCCTTCCCAGAGGATCTGGGCCGTCACGATGTTGTTGCCGATGAAGGCCGACACCTTCCACATGGGCAACGCGCAGCAGATGATGCTGCACAGCCAACCCAGCACGGACAAGGCCACGCCGCCGATCTCCAGCCCCATCGACATGGTGGACGGTTCAGTGACGCGCTCCAGGCGATGGCGGAGAAGAACCCACGGACCTAGACGTCGCTGCCACCCGCCGCCGCTCGCAGCCGGGGGATCGGCTTACACCTGTGCGCAGTGCTATTTATACGGGCTGGCCCCGGGGTGGGGTTTCAGTGCTGGCTGCTGGACGCTCCTCTCTGCTCCTCCGTCACCGTCACCTGTGTCCCACACCCTCCCCTTTGTTTGCAGAGATGGCGCCGAGTAACCAGAGAAGGGCGGGAGGAGGAGAAACGCCACCTGCCACAGCCATCCCCTGGTTTCGGCCGATGGGTATCGGGAAGCACTACCACCACGCTCATTCCCATCAAACCCCTTCTGTGGACCTGGAAGTCCCAAGGGCTCACCTTTCCTCCATGGAGAAAATGTGGCAGGTCAGGGTTTGTTGATTTCTGTAGTGTTGTCGGTGATCACGTTTAACTGGGGTTCCGTGAGTGTTGGGCACCTTTGCATCACCGTGCAAAGTGCAACCCCTCCGCCATCCCATGAGGTTTGTGTCACCATTCCAGGGGACCTGCAGGTGCTCCTGGCCCAGCAGGAACCCCTCCAGCCTGGCCCCTCCTGTTCCCACCCTGCTGGGCTGGGAGCTCAGTCAGAGATCCTCTGACTGACTGATAAATATCTTTACTCATCCTGCACAAGTCTTGTGACCTTGAAGGAAGCAGATAATGCACGTAACCACCGCGGCAGCATCACCCTGACAACCTGAGCTGGCACCTGGCAAGGGAAAAATATCCCAAGGCGTGAGCAATCTCTTCAGACCTGGCAGCAACAGCCCCATGGCTGTGGGGTGCATGTTTCCTCCCCCAGCCTTGCATGCTGGGGGTAGTGCCAGTGCTTCCAGTCCCCCTCCCCCAGGAATGTGGTTGCTGGACACAGGCTTGCTCCTACCTGTTCCCTGCCTGCTCCAAAAATCTCCTCTACAACTTATTAACTACTCAAGAGCGCGGTGGGATGCTGGCAGCTGGTGCCGTGCAGCTGGGATGGGGGCGGCCCTGCAACTGCCTGGCTGTACCCCAGAGTACCCTGACATCCCACAGCCAGAGGGGTTGGAGTTGGGTGCCCCCAGAGTATCCCAACACCCCATAGCCAGAGGGGTTGGATTTGGGAGCCACAGAGTACTCTGATACCCGGTAGCTGGTGGGTCACCTTCTATTACCCTGCAGTACTCTGAACCCCCATAGCCAGCAGGGTCACCCCACAGCACCCTGATACCCAGTATATACCTGGGGCAGCTGTTGTCACCCCATGTCACCCCAGCACCCCATATCTACCCCACTTGACCTCCAGCCCCCTGCAGCACCCCTTTTCTCACCTCCACCATGCTGTGACACCCCAGTACCCCCATATCCAGCCTCTGCCAACCGATGGCACCCCCAAAATACCCTGTACTTGGCTGGGTGAGCTTCTGCTACCCCACTGTACTGTGATCACTCCCCGAGGGCACCAAAATCCCCACAGCCAGCTGGGGGTACCCAGGGCTGACCCAGCGCATGCAAGCAGCCCCCAGGGTTCTGTGCCCTTGCTGCTGGGGGCGCTGGGGGTCCCGGCCCTCGGGGGCGCCTCGGCCTGAGTGTCCACGGTCCAGCGCTGTCACAGGGCCAGCCCCACGGGCTGCCAGCGGCGGGCAGAGGGCGGGGGCCAGGCTGCCGAGGGCCCCACGTGTGCAGGCAGGGGAGTGCCCGCGGCCCCGGGGGGCGGGAGCGACGGGTGCGCAGGTGAACACACACACAGACAGACAGACACACAGACAGGTACACACGCACATGCACATACACACACACAGGCAGGTTCAGGCGCACACACACACACACACACACAGGTACAGACGCACACAGGTACATACACACAGGTACAGGCACACACACACACAGGTACAGGCACACAGACACAGAGAGACAGGTACACACATGCACACACACAGACAGGTACAGGCGCATACACACACACACAGACACACAGACACACAGACACACAGACACACAGACACCACAGGTACACACACACATGCACACACAGAGACAGGTACAGGCGCACACACACACACACACACACACACACATACAGGTACAGACGCACACACACAGAGGTACAGGCGCAGAGACACAGACAGGCACACACACACGTACAGAGACAGGTACAGGCGCACACACACACAGGTACAGACACAGACACAGGTACAGAAACACACAGGTACAGGCACACACAGGTACAGCCGCACACACACACACAGAGGTACAGGCACACACACAGACACACACACACACACACAAATGGGTACAGGTGCACACACAGACACACAGACACACAGACACACAGACACACACACCCACACCCTCTGCTGGCCGCAGCGCCCCGGCATGCAGCTGCGCACAGAAACGCATGGACACATGGACACACAGCAACAGACTTGGACACACAGACTCATGGAGACGGACAAACATATTGACTGACAGACACACACACACACCCCAACAGATTTCCAGACACACAGAGACTCGCGGACACATAGATTCAGACAGACACACACATGCAGATTCAGACTCACACAGAGGCAGAGGTGGATGGTGCTGGTACAGGTGCACACATACACACCCTCACACAGTGCACATGAGGCTGTGGGGCTGTGGGCAGGGGCTCCCCTGCAGGGCTCTGGGCCAGGAGGGGACCCCAGGCAGGGCTGTAGGGTGTGGGGATGCCCCAGGCAGGACTTTAGGGCAGGGTTATACCCCAGACAGGGCTCTGGGGA